CGACCAGGGCTCCCTCTGCCTCCTCGACCTATCGGCCGCATTCGATACGGTCGACCACTCTATCCTCCTCCACCGCTTGTCCTCCCACCTCAACCTTCAAGGCACTGTCCTTGAGTGGTTTAGGTCCTACCTCTCCCACCGTCCTCATTTTGTCTCTGCAACGGCTTTTCCTCTGGCCCCCACACTGTCTCGTGCGGTGTCCCTCAGGGCTCTGTCCTCGGTCCCCTCCTCTTCACCCTCTATATGCTCCCCCTCGGTGACATCATCCGCAGACATGGGGTTAACTTCCACATGTATGCGGATGACACCCAACTCTACCTTTCCTCCTCTACCCTCAACTCCACGACCACCGATGTCCTGACAGCTGCCTGTCCGACATCGAGTCCTGGACGAGAGACAACTTTCTTCAGCTCAACGTGCGCAAAACTGAGGCCCTCCTGATTGGCTCACGTCAGCGCCTCCGCACCTCAGGCGCTGACAGCATCAGCATCCAAGGCTGCACTCTCCACCCCTCAAAGCCAGTCAGGAACCTCGGGGTTCTGTTCGACCCTGAGCTGTCCTTTCTTCCCCACATCCGCACCACAACTGGCACCGCCTTCCATCACCTCCGAAACACCGCCAAACTACGGCATTACCTCACCCCTCACGCTGCTGAAACACTGGTCCACGCCTTTGTCACCTCAAGGCTGGACTACAGGAACTCTCTCCTCGCCGGCCTTCCCGGCACCTCCCTCCACAAGTTGCAGGTCATTCAGAACTCTGCAGCTCGTGTACTGTCCCGCACCAGGCTTCGGGACCACATCACTGCCACCCTCGCTCGCCTCCACTGGCTCCCCATCCCCCAGAGGATCGAATTCAAGATCCTCATCCTCACCTACAAGGCCATTCACGGCCTTGCTCCCTCCTACCTCTGCGACCTAGTATCCCCCCACGTACCTGCCCGTACTCTCCGTTCCTCTGGCTCCGGTCTGCTCCACATCCCCCGCCCCAACCGCCCTACCATCGGTGGCCGGGCTTTCAGCCTCTCAGCCCCTAGGCTCTGGAACTCCATCCCCCAGTGCCTTCGCCGCCTCCTCCCTTTCCTCCTTCAAGGCCGGTCTCAAGACCTTTCTCTTCAACCGTGCCTTCAGCTCCCCTCTCGACTCTCTACCCCATCCTCGCTCCCTCCATTCCCTCACTTCACCCTGACCATTTCACCCCTGCTCGGGTCCCGACCCAACTGTCCAGCACCTTGGGACGTCCTCCTGACGTGAAAGACGCTCTATAAATGCAATCTTGTAGTTGTTGTAGACTAAAAGGGTTCAAAGTCCTGACCTAGGGCTTGAACCCACAACCTTCGAATCAGAGGCAAAAGTGCTACAAACTGAGTCAGGCTGATTTGAAAGGGAATGTTTTCTTTAAAATGGTGTCCTGAACATCAATCCTCCCAATTAATGGTCATTCAATGTTCTCTTGATGCAACTTTGCTGGTGAAAAATGGCCATTGTGTTTACAAGAGTACAAGAGTAGTCACCACATGTGATTATGTGTGAGCACTGAGATGTTCTGACATGATAGACCACTGTAAAAAAGTTCTTTCTTATGTTCCAAAAACTTGGTTTGCTTCCAGTGGAAAAGAGGAATGCGGAATCCTTTAGCTCAGTGATTTCAGCACTCGCCCCGGAAGCAAGAGTCTGATAACCCACCTGGGCGAAGTGTTGGGCAAGTTTCCTTACTCCACACGCCTGTTTACCTAGCAGTAAGCAGGAACCCGGTTGTTAGTCGATTGGCGGATCGCTTTTCCAGGGGTAATAATTGCTTCAAAATAAAATAATAATACACTGGTCACTTCAACCCACGACTGTTTGTGGGCACTGTTGTGCTCAATTAGCTGCCAAGTTTTGCCCACAAAATTTAGTCAATACACTTTACAGTATATTCTGTGAAGTGCTTTGAGACGACTCAAAGACGTGATAAGCTGCTACATCAAGGATTATTATTGTATATATTATGTAAAAAAGGATTCAGATAAATATTTGAAGAGGGACTGTGGAAAGAGATTGGAACTGGAATCAGAGATTTATTGGATCATCTAGCAACAGTTTAGGCTTAATAACCCACACTGCCTCCTCCTGTGATGTAATTTCTAGGGTTTTGTGATACCTTTTTCCAAGTTTAATTCTATTTTAATATTTTCAGTTCTTAAAATTGGGTATAGCCAGTTTCACTTGGTGCACTTCCATTATCAATATGGCCATAAATTGTGTTTTATAACCAGTTTTGGAAGTGACATCACTTCAAAAGAAGCAATGAGATAATCTCTCTCTCTATTTGCAAACCAAACATTTGTTTGGATAACCTTTTGGAAAAAGTTTCATGATAGCATAACCCTGCAATTTTAAACCACATAAGGGTCGATTCCTCTCATAGATTATAAAGCACAGGCTAAAGCTACCAAATATATCCATTAAAAATCTATTATCGTATCCCTACTTTAATGATGGTGGCTTTCTGAGGCAATGATTTTTTCCCCCTGAATATAACCAAAATACCAAGAATTTGCTAAACCTATTATGTTGTAAGTGAAGATAAATTCAAAAAAGTAATTTAAAAGTGGAGTTGTCACTTTCTGATATTCAAGCAGTGCAGAAGTTTAATTTAAAACTTTTTAATATACTCTACTTGTTGAGAAAACATTTTCAATTGAATTTGTTCTATGATAAAAATTATACATTTTCACCCTGCGGTGTTCAATATTTTTCTGTCAGATTAGTTTGACAATTTAGTCAGCTTGGCTCATTTGGTAGATAGCACCTCTGACTTGCCCTTGGGAGAGAAGGTTGTGGGCTCAAATCACAGCTCCAGGCTGACACTTCAATACAATTCTGAGGAAAGTGCTACAAGTCAGAGGTGCTATCTCTCAGCAGAGACGTTAACAAAAACAACAAAATGATATTTGTATAGCGCCTTTCATATCGGGAGGACTTCCCAAGGCGCTGGACAATAAGTTTTGGACCCAGGCTGGGGCAGGAAATCAGGGAGGGTGGCATGCTTGCTTGTTTAAATGGATGCAAAAAACCCATAACTCTATTCAAAAAAAGAAAGGAATTACTCCCAGTGTCCAAGGCAATAATCTATTAGTTAAATTGGTCATTAAGCTTTTGGCTGTTTGTCGGATTTTAATGCATGCAAGCTGGCTGCTAAACACAGTTTATCCAATTCTGGAAAGTATTAGGCATAGGTAGCCAAGGCTTGGGGCCCCCATTGAGGGGACTGTTGTTTCAAACCAGATAATTAACCGCTTAGCTTGCCATTCAAATCCACTATCCATCAATTTTCCCTCTGTTTGACGAGGAAGGACCAACCTACTGGTTAGGGCTTAACATGAGTCAATAATAACAAATCCTTGCCACCAGTGACAAGTATACCTCTCCACCAACAACAACTTGCATTTTTATAGCCCCTCACACAGGGTAGAGTCCCAGAGTGCTTGACAGTGGTTCAGCATGGCACTGTGCTGGGGGGATGGTGAGGTGACCATAGGTACGGTCGAAGAGGAACATCTTCAGGCACGACCTGAAGATAATAATAATAATAATCCTTGCACTTGATATAGCGCTTTTCACGTTGGGAGGACGTCCCAAAGCGCTTCACAGAACACACTGTAAAGTGAATTAACTGTATATTTGTGGGCAAACGCGGCAGCCAATTGCGCACAGCAATGTCCCACAAACAGTCGTAGATTGAAAATGACCAATTTTTATTATTGTTTTTGGAGGGATTATTATTAGGCTCTGTGTGGAGTAAGGAAACTTGCCCAAGGTTTCGTCCTCTGCCTGGAACGGAACTGAGGTCTCTCACTTGCAAAGTGAGTGCTCTAACCACTGAGCACTGGGGAAGGAAGGGGCGAGGCGGAGTGATAGAGAGTGTCCAAGAGTTTGGGCGCGTAGTGGCTGAAAGTGCGGCCACCAATGGTGCAATGGAGGGCATGAGGCACGTGCAGAATACCGGAATCAGTGAAGCGGAGGCAGGGAGTAGTGAGTTGGGGGGTATGCAGGTCGGAGAGGTAGGGAGGTGGAGGGCATGAAGGGATTTTAAAACGAGTGTGAGGAACTTGAAATCAAGCTGTTCGGTGATGGGGAGCCAGTGGAGCCTGGCTAGAACTGGTGTGATGGGGTGTGTTAGCAGTGAATACAGTGATCCTTTGCCTTGGTCAGCAGTGAGTGAGTGAGTGAGTGGCTTACCTTGGTGAGCAGTGAGTGAGTGAGTGAGTGAGTGGCTTACCTTGGTGAGCAGTGAGTGAGTGAGTGCAGTGGCTTACCTTGGTGAGCAGTGAGTGAGTGAGTGAGTGAGTGGCTTACCTTGGTGAGCAGTGAGTGAGTGAGTGAGTGAGTGAGTGGCTTACCTTGGTGAGCAGTGAGTGAGTGAGTGAGTGAGTGAGTGAGTGAGTGGCTTACCTTGGTGAGCAGTGAGGGAGTGAGTGAGTGAGTGGCTTACCTTGGTGAGCAGTGAGTGAGTGAGTGAGTGGCTTACCTTGGTGAGCAGTGAGTGAGTGAGTGAGTGAGTGGCTTACCTTGGTGAGCAGTGAGTGAGTGAGTGAGTGAGTGGCTTACCTTGGTGAGCAGTGAGTGAGTGAGTGAGTGGCTTACCTTGGTGAGCAGTGAGTGAGTGAGTGAGTGAGTGAGTGAGTGGCTTACCTTGGTGAGCAGTGAGGGAGTGAGTGAGTGAGTGGCTTACCTTGGTGAGCAGTGAGTGAGTGAGTGAGTGGCTTACCTTGGTGAGCAGTGAGTGAGTGAGTGAGTGAGTGAGTGAGTGAGTGAGTGAGTGGCTTACCTTGGTGAGCAGTGAGGGAGTGAGTGAGTGAGTGGCTTACCTTGGTGAGCAGTGAGGGAGTGAGTGAGTGAGTGGCTTACCTTGGTGAGCAGTGAGTGAGTGAGTGGCTTACCTTGGTGAGCAGTGAGTGAGTGAGTGAGTGGCTTACCTTGGTGAGCAGTGAGTGAGTGAGTGAGTGAGTGGCTTACCTTGGTGAGCTGCGCTATCTTCTTGCTCATCTTCAGGTGCAGGTCTTGGTTGTACTCGGCTGCCCAGTGGGACACGGAGGCGGGTTGGCCGCCGCCTGCCCCGGGCTGGCTGGCGGCGGCGCCGCTGTAGTGTTGTTGCTGCTGCTGCCAGCTCATGCCAGTCGCCATCTTCCGCTGGGGACCCGTGAGGAGACCACAGCCCGGGCCCAGGGCAGGGCAGGGCAGGGCAGGGCTGGGCAGGGAGACAGGCAGTGAAGAGGCCCGCGCTAACCCGGCAGCAGGAGCCCGGCTCCCCTCGGGGCTTCGCTCGCACTCGGAGCCGCCGAGACTCCAGGGAACAGCAACCGACCGCCGCTCTCCATCGCCGGGACACGGCTGCCCCGCCCGCCCCCGCTCACCAGCTCAGTCAGTCAGTCAGGGAGGGAGGGAGGGAGGGGGGGAGCCCGGAGTGTGGTCTCTGTCTCCCTCCCTCTCGAGTTGTTATTGTAATGGGTCCTCTCTCTCTCTCACACACACACACACAGTGTGTACAGTCTGTCTCTGGTGTGTGGACACTGCTCTCTCTCTCTCTCTCTGAGATTGCCCACTGTGTATATCCAGTGTCTCTGATGTAACCAACGCTCACAGCTCTCTCTCCCTCTCGGGGTGTTATTCACTCTCCGGTGGCTCTTGTTTTCTCGCCCTCCCTCGCGCTGTTACCATGGAGCTCCGCACCGTTTACACCGCACGTCACTTCCGATTCCGGATCCGCCTCCTCTCACTCCCCACCACGTGCTGCTGCACCCATTCCCCATCAAACCCCAACCCCAACACCTCAACCTCAAACCCCCAACACCTCAACACCCCAACCCCAGCCATCAACCCCCCAACCGCCCAACCCCAACACCCCAACCTCAACACCCCAACCCCAGCCATCAACACCCCAACCTCAACACCCCAACCTCAACACCCCAACCCCAGCCATCAACCCCCCAACCCCAACCTCAACACCCCAAACCCCCAACACCACCCCAACCTCAACACCCCAACCCCAAGCCATCAACACCCCCAACCCCAGCCATCAACACCCCAACCCCAACCTCAACACCCCAACCCCAGCCATCAACCCCCCAACCCCAACCTCAACACCCCAACCCCAGCCATCAACACCCCAACCCCAGCCATCAACACCCCAACCTCAACACCCCAACCTCAACACCCCAACCCCAGCCATCAACACCCCAACCCCAGCCATCAACACCCCAACCCCAACCTCAACACCCCAACCTCAACACCCCAACCCCAACCTCAACACCCCAACCCCAGCCATCAACACCCCAAAGCCAACCCCAACCATCAACACCCCAAAGCCAACCCCAACCCCAGCCATCAACACCCCAAAGCCAACCCAACTCAAGCCATCAACACCCCAACGCCAACCCCAACTCACAGCCATCAACACCCCAAAGCCAACCTCAACTCACAGCATCAACAACTCAAAGCCAACCCCAACTCACAGCATCAACAACCCAAAGGCAACGCCAACTCACAGCCATCAATACCCCAAAGCCAACCCCAGCTCAGTTATCAACACCCCTAACCCAACCCCAGCTTAGCCATCAACACTTCAAAGTGAACCCCAACTCACAGCATCAACACCCCAAAGTTAACTATAACTCAGCCATCAACACCCCAAAGCCAACCCCAACTCATAGCATCAACACCGCAAAACCAACCCCAACCATCTAAAGGTATGGAAGCTGCCATTATGTTTGAAATTATCCATCTGCTTGAAAGCTCTGACCTAATTAATGCATGTTATCAATCATAATTTGTGCAATGGAGATCCTCTTGCCTTTGTTTCCCATCTCTAGAATTCTGCTCTTCAGGTTATTGGGTTGACCATCTCCTCTGATTTCAAGTGGAATTCTTATATCTCCTTTATAGCTGAAACTATGCTGTAAGATATTATCTAAGGTGAAGGTTGCTATATAAAGGCAAATTGTACCAAATACTTATTTTCCCCCAAATCTCAACCCTTTTTTAAAACCCAAATCTGCTCATCCAAGCCATAAATACAGCTTTCTTATCTTAGGAGGATCTTTAGCAACTCTCTCTTGGTCCTGTAGTCTTTCTCAGTCTTTCTCCTCTCAGACTTTAAACGCAAACTTATTTCTAAACTTGTTAGACTGTCTCCTTATCTCATTCTTTCCCGGAGACTCAAGTTTATGAAATTCCTTTCTTCGCTTGATCTTCCCATCCATCTGCAATCTACAGACCTTCAAAGGCGAAACTTGTATTCCAGTTTAACCATAGTTGTGCACAACTTTATAATAATATCAAACTATTAATTTTTGCTTTTCAATTATAGTGAAATTTGCATTATAAAGTAAGTATTTGATCTTTAGGAATCTGTAATGTTGATAATACATCATGAAGCAGTGCAAATATTGATTTCTGACATTGTGCAGTTCACTGGGGAGCCTTTTCATAACTATATTGATTAAAAAGGGCCGAGAGAATAAAGCACATTAAACATGACAGCAATTTCCAGAAACTGTAAGAGCTGCACCAAAGAGAGTGAATAAGCAATATATTTTCTGCAGGTTTCATTGCCACATACAAACTGGTAAATAATAACTGCTAATGAAGAAGAAACAAAGGTACTAGACAAAAGTGATAATGACAATCAATTAGTAAATTACATTAATTGTATGACGAGTAGGGTAATCATGTATTTCAATATATATAAAAATAAATTGCCATTATTATGAATACAGCGGTAGCCGCTTAAACCGGACACATTGGCGCTAGGTGTTTTGACTGATTTATCTGGCATCTGAGTTAACCACCGTCCGGCTAAAGAGGCTTCCAATGTATTAAATAGTATAATTTTATGAAATTTTATCATTAAATAACATTTAGTATTTCTTCCATTAATGCAATATAAAGCAGCAGTATTGCTGTATATACATAGACAAATTAAACAAATAATGTTGACAGCATTTTTCCTGGACAATTTAGATATTGGCTTTTCCAGAATTTACAAAGAGACATCTGCTGAGCTTTCAGAGGATCCTTCATTCAAAGGTTGCTCTGCAGATTCACGCACCAGCTGTGCTATGTGTGAATATCCATCACAGTGGAACTGGCTGCTGGCCGACCACAATCCCTGTAGAATGGACTGAAGAGCACTCAGGGGAGCTCTGAATGACAACATCTTGGGACTGCAGAAAGGAAACTTGCTGGTATCTGAACGCTGATACAAGTAGATCAATTGCAAAGACAATTTGAGCTGCCAGCTGTGCCCAACCATGTTGCCTAACGTGCTGCAATATTATCATGTTTACTGTGCTCTGGGTGTGAGGAAGGAGCACCTGTCCACATTAATGTGCCTTCATAGCTATTTATGAGCAAGGCTTGCAAGGCTATACCAGATGGTAGCTCAGATGGTATCATTCTATCATTTGGATCTGAAAGTTGTGGGTGTTAAACCTCATGTTGGGACAAAATAGCTGGCAAAATAGATTTGCCCTCCAGTGCAGTACAAAGGGAGCACTGCATTAACAGAGGTGCTGTTCTCCGCATTAAAACTGAGGATTCAACTACTTTAAGTAGACATTATAGATACATGACACTATTCTAAAAGAAAAGAACATTTCCTCCAGTATACTGACATCAAATTACTGCAAAACAATTTGAAATGTTGACAGTAAAGATTCCATGACACATTTTGTAAAGAGAGGGAGTTTTTCCCAGTGTCCTCATCAACACTCATTCAACTACAAGAACAATTTGGATTTATAAAGCACTATTCCATAGGGTAACACATTGAAACTTTCTACAGTGACTTTGCTGAACACTGAACAGGGAGAGTGAGAGTGGTAAACGTAGCCACGATTGAAGAGGTAGGTTTTTCAGGGGCCTTTTAAACCTCCGGGATGGAGCTCCAAAGAGTGGGGACAGAATGGCTGAAAACAAGCCAACTAATGGTGGAGGGGATCAGCAGGGACATGAAACAGGTCAGAATGGAGAGCGCGGGTTAAAGCATTTTAAAGTATTACTGATACAAATATTAAGGTCACAGTAATGGTTAATTAAAAATAGGATACACTTTATTGCTGGAATATTAATACTATGGTACAAAATTAAAAATACAATTTTTACATTTTGCTCACCCTTTATGCCTTTTATTTTTCCATTCTCATCTCTTTTCTATTTGAAATGTAATTTTCCATATTTTCACTAACCATAACAATCTATTTTTTAATAATTTTCTTTTAAAAAATGACATTAAAGCACTTTTCTTGCTTTGTTTCTTCCTTCTCCTGACTACTGCCATCGTATTTAGAAGAGCAATGTTTTGACTGATTAAAAAAGAATCTCCAAAGGTCATTTTTTAACCCAAAGATTGAAAATGGATATAGTCCCTCAAAGGAATACTGAGTCATGGATAATTACAATATTAACTTTATTCAAGTGCTTGTTGTCTGACTGGCTCTTTAATAATATTAAAATATAAAAGTATATCCAACAGTGATATAAGCATATCTTGTGGTATAATTGATCTACAATTGACTTTTAAGCCATAACTGTATAAGATCTGATCCTGTTGCATTAAACCTCAAGTTAATTCTTCACATCTTCTCCTCCAGTTGAACTCTATATAGGTTTTAAATTCTTTCAGAAGCTCCCATTCACTAGGAAATGGGTTGAAAATTTCTCAGGATTTTAACCTTAATGTCATTGCCTTAAAAATTAAGATTCTGTATTTGGAAAATTCTTTAATTGTCTAAATTTGGAAGTCATTTTTCTGCATTTCTTTTGAAAATATTCCATTGCCTAAAGCGCATTTATTTCTAGCTGATTGAGATTACGAATGGGCTTTGTGTTTACTGGACTTTTTAGTTAAAATAAATGGATTTCATATATAATTGCACGGCACTTAATGAAGTATTATTAGGAATTATTTAATTATCTTTCCTTTTTACTCAAAGAGAGTTTCAGGCTAACAATGTAGATGGTTACCAGCTCATTCAATGTATTTCTCTCCTGTCCCCCCAGTTTCTCTTTCCATTTACTGGGTTTATCTGCACCTCGTTGCATAATTCATCCACTTTTTGTTTGCAACTCAGTGCATGACTCATTCATTTTCATCTGAATGTTTGCAGGCCACTGAAACCTGCCTCCCCAAATAACATATGCTCATGACACTGAATTAGTTTGGGGATTAACTCAGTTTGTATTAATTCATTGCCTTACTAGCTCATATTAGACCTTATCGGATTTGCTGCAGAGATTTAGTGGTGCTTTGCAAATGCTGTTTGCTTTTATTGCAGGTCTTTTATGTTCACCTCTGAATAGAAAAAAAAGGTTTATTTTGAA